AATCGCTTAGCCAATCAGATTGCTGGAAACTCTTTGTTCAGCTCTGAAATTATACTAAAAATTTATGTGAACTTGTGACATTTTCATTCGATTTTCTTTACACTTATGTAATCAGAGGCCTGTTTCTCGAAAGGCCCGGAAACCTTTGGAGTCCGCAAAACCATTCTTAGTTAATTTGTATCTAACAAAAGAGACCGGGTGTATACGCCTGAAACTTCTTGTATGAAGGGAACTTCCGGTCATATTAAGAATATGTGACTAAATAAAACAGCCCTGGAATCATAAGGTTTGAGATTTTGCTACGGTTTTCCAGGTGCGGAAACTTTTCGGGACCTTCGAGAAATGAGCCCCTCGGCCCGGTTGTTTGAAAGCCGGTTAACGCTGCAGGATTAAAAGTTAACCGAAGTATTAATTTTTCTTGTATAAAATCGTTTTTCACTTCTAACGTTTTGTGTAGTTTGAGATTATTCAAGCTCAACAGAAGGACAAACAATGTAACCAGAAATCCGCATTGAAAGGTTGTAACACTGAAATCAAAATTCTCGATAATCCTGCGGGTCTAAGGTTTCGAGGAAGAACAATCTAAATTGGCCTAAAAAAAACTTCGTCATATTCAATCGTTTTAAATCATTATATTTAAAATTTTAATGAGGAATAAAAAAGTCTAGTTAACCACCTTTACTTTCTTTCTGCAGAGAGTGGATGCCGTATTCAATCGTCCGACAAAGCCAACAAAAAGTGTCGAAGACAGAGACAACGGGAACTTGAACTGACCAGAAAAGATTACCAGCTCGCACAAGATAATAACGAACTTTCACGTCTCAACAAGACCCCTGCAGAAGTATACGGTATCCTTGTACGAGATGCTTTAGATCATCACTGGATTACGTTGTACAACTCTACTATATTCAAGAACTTAGGTCTCTTTTTACGGTTTAACCGTAGCAAAGAAGATGACTACATTAGAATATACAACTTCTTTATTAACAATCAACTGGCGGGGGTTTCTCAGGTAAGTTCTTTTTTTTATCATTTAGTTTTAGAGAGAAAACTAGCATCCCAGGGATCAAACCAACCCCTTAACGTCTCGCGACCTCAAGATGGCCGATAGCTAGGCGAACAAAACTATTTATCGCTTACCCAGCAATAACGTGATCATTCCAGTCTAGGCTATCACGTTTGGAAAAACCGTCTTTTTTTGGGCAATGACAAGGGAGAAAAGCAGTATCTTTCAAATTTCGATTTGATTTTACGATTGAGTCAATAAAAAGCTACCATGCGAATATATACTTTTTTACTCCAGAAGTTGCTTTCTTGTTCATTTTCAGGAAGACAAAAGATATTTTCGATTTTCTTTTCAAGACAAGGCCATTCCTTTCAGAAATCTGTCTGACCTTGCTCTTTGGAGAGACGACGAGCTGTTTACTGACCAGCGATTGGCTGGCAGCAACCCAATGGCCATTCAAAGGGTTTCTTGGGATCCAGGTAACCAAGCCTCTAATTCCTATAACCCTTCAGGACGAAAGGGCCCATGAAGGAATGAAATAACGTTAAGTCAAGGAGGAATGGAAAACATTTTAGAGGACATTTATTAAACTTATTTTTTGTAGTTTCGTATGCTAATGATATTTTCAAGTGATAGAATTTCCTTAAATTACAAACGTGACGCCAAGTCACCGCTTAACTTTGAGCGTGATTTAATCCTTTCGAAGACGGAACCCGCATATGTATCTTGTCCATTTGATTTCCATGTGTCTTTAACTTATTATCGGTGTTAAGTTAAGCTTCCCTGAACCAAACAAATTTCTTTCAACAACAAAGTCACTTTTTTTATTCGATCTTTCAGAAGTACATGGAGGAGTGGACTGGACAGAATTGAGTGGAAAATTAAATCCAAGCTTTGACTGGGAAGGAGAAATACAGGATGTGATTGGGCTAGACATTTCACTTCATAAGGTATATCGATATATAAACAATAGCCTCCATTTGGCGCGGAAATATGCTCCGAGAGCCTAGCTCGAGGAAAACTGTGAGCTTTGAGGAACAGATAATGTCCAAAGACAAATATCCGAGCATATTTTCGCGCCAAATGGAGGCTATTGCGCTTATTATCCTTCAAATATTTTTCGTAACACGCCCGGTTTTGAAAATTGTGGATTATCACACGGATATTTCCCAGTTTTAGCTGGGGAATATTCAGTCACGTGACGCGTTTAGACCAATCGCGAGCGAGCGAAAATATTTGATGGATTATAACACTCGGATAGTCCTCAGTTTTTGTTGGGAGATATTCAGTCACGTGACGCTTTTAGACCAATCGCACGCGAGCGAAAAAATTTGATGGATTATAACGTGGAGTACAAACATTCACAAATAATGAGCTCATCCGTCTATTCTAACGCCCGGGCTGCTGAGTAGTTTCAAACCGTGTAAGTAAATGTATGTATTGGCAGTCCGTGCTGTAAAAATCAGTCTGCTCAGCAGTAACCAATAATTCTGTCAATTGTCGTCCTTGCTATAAAATAAAACTTAATATAATAACGTTGACAGGCAATATCTGAGGGATTTGTATATGTGGTGCATTATCCTCTCTATGACGGACTGGATTCACTTGGCGTCGACAGGTTTGGTAAACTAATGGATGCCTTCTCACCCATCGCCATTTTTGCATCAAAACCCAGTCGACAACAACGGCCAAACATGCTTAAACCGGTTGCCATTCAATTAAACAGCTCTTCAGGTATGACGTTTCTATTCTACTCCACTATTCTCTACTCGACTCGACTCGACTCTACTCGACTCCTCTACTCCGCTCTACCATACTCTTCTCTGCTCTACCTTAAGTACTATTCCACTTTCTTTTGCTTTGCGTTGCTTTATTTTGCTTTACTTTTCTTTACTTACTATGCTTTAGCTCACGTTATTTTACTCCATTTGTGAGTACAGCTGTCTTCAAAGTTTACAACCAAGCTCGGTCTAAGATTTTGACGAACGGACCCACACGTTCCTGTCAAGAATAACTCTTTCAGGTTTCTTTTCACTTGCTTTCATTTAGCTTCTCCGGTGTTTACTCCAGAAGATAGTGAACTCTGGTTGATGGCTAAGCATGTCCTTCAAGGGGTAGACTACGCTCAAAACCAGATTGTGGAACATCTTTACAAGCTCCATATGTTTATGGAGCCCGTGTGTGTATGCATGCATCGGAACCTGGCAAAATTGCACCCTCTTCATCACCTCTTAAAGCACCATTGCAGGGGACTGATTGGGACCAATTCGTTTGGGACTCCATTCCTCATGGCGGAGAACGGCTCCATAAACAGCCTCCTGACTGTTGGACGCAGTGGCTCTCAGGTAATGATGTCTAGGGCCTATCAGGAAATAAGCTGGGATGATACAGACTTCTTGGACAATATCAAGGTTGGTACAATGTAGTTGCTTACTGACTGCTACATTAGTTTCGTTTGAAACTACCACTTAAAATGTGTAGACAAGCAACCAAAACTGATCTAGTTATTTGCCCTTTATCAGTTATCAATATTCATAATTTGTTGTTATATTTAACCCCTTACGGGCTGATACCGAGGGATTCGAAACAGTTTATTTTGTTAGCCGAGAATCTTAGATTATTTAGATTCGTAGACCCCGACGTCATTTGTTACATCAGTTTATGACACAGCAACAACAATGGTGGATCGACATGGAATGGCAGTAATTAGTATATACCACAACCTCGTTCCCAGGGTCTCTCATCTTACCGCCCCCTGGAGCGAGCGAGGAGAGAGGGGGCGGTAAGATGAGAGACCCTGGGAACGAGGTTGTATAGCCAAGTACTATTCACCTCCGAGCAGCCGAAGAAAAACAAAATGGCTTCCCGTTTCAAATA